AAAAGATCGTTTACAGACCCCCGAAACGCCGGCTTCGTGTGGATGAGAGGCTGGTTTGGTGAAAAATTTGTGCGTTTAGGCCAGGGAACGTCTTCGTGTGGACGGGGCCTTAACCTTGTTGTTTTTGTCTTTGCTTCTCGGCAGGAAGTCATCCTGCAAACTGGATGTTTGGGCCTTCTTCCCCTGGAAGGATCGTCTTGAGCTTCATACTGAGCAGGGGTTTCAAACTGGAGGTTTGGACCTTGTTCCCCCCGAAAGGATTGTTTGGCCTTCACACTGAGCAGGGGACTCATCTCCACAGGAACCGTTCAAGTACCACAGGAAATTGCCTGCTCTATCTCACTCGCATTAAAAAAACACCACCTCCCATAGTCTAAAATCCGGGAGAATTTATCCAACCCGCGGGAATCAGTGAAGAACTGTTAGTATCAGGGAGTCTCCCGGAACTTCCGGGAGACTTGGTATGTCTGCTATTGTCCTATTTCCATTATCCAAGGCGAATAATGGGAAAAGTTTGGTGAAAGAAAAAGTGTCGAAAAAGGTACACAGACTAATTAAATTAGGGGCAAACTGTTGTAAGGCAAGGCCATTTCAAGAATTTTTCTGGGTCGTGATCTTCAGGCCTTTTCTTTTAAATGTTTTCATGATTTTGTAGGTCTTCATAAGCTGTCAACCAGAGGTGTCAAGTAACGAAGTACAAATACTTCATTACTGTACTTAGGTACACTTTTTAGGTATCTATACTTTACTCCATTACTTATTTTTCTTCCTACTTCTACTCATTACATTTTCAAAACAACGTTACTCGTTACTCTAGGCTTTTGTTTAATGTTTATAAATAAATTATTTCATGTCATGCGCACCATCCAATGCAGATCATTGGCGCCATCCACATCTAGCGAAAAACAGTGTAATTGGATGAGTCATATAGATAGCAAAGCATAGAATGGTTAAACATGGTTAGCTAAAGGCAATCATCAGAAGCAAGCAGGTGTTCTTCAAACTGCAAACGTGAACTGTCTATGCCATGCTACAATTTTGGATTCAGAAAAAGATGTGGAAATGTCTGAAAGGCGACAGCATATTGGGAGATGACCAACAAGACCTCCCTCATTCTTGGCCCTAACTCAAAGACTTTTTCCATATAGTCGAAAAATGTAGCTTATAATTCATATAGTGGCATCTGGCTGTTTTTTTTAAAGGTTACTTTATACTTTTATACTTTAAGTAGTTTTTGGAGCACATACCTTTTCACTTTTACTTGAGTAAAGAGGTCAAGTTGATACTTCAACTTTTACCAGAGTGTTTTTAAACTGCAGTATCTGTACTTCTACTTAAGTAACAAATGTGTGTACTTTTGACACCACCGCTGTTAACGTACATCGCTCACCGGGCACTAAGTGTCAGGAACTGGGAGGAGATGAGAGAGTGGGGCACTAAAAGAAGGCTAGGCTGATAAGAAATCATAAATGTAATTGTAATAAAAACATATTAAGAAATGTATAAAGTTTGTTATTAGATATAGGTTATAAAATATTAAAATATTTGCTCAAGAAAAAGACGGACATCTCTGGTATGAGAAAGGGGGAAATTATGTGATAGATGAGATAGAGGGATGAGTTGAACTATTTGGTAACATGAAATAAGAAAATTTTAAAAAGCTACCTACAACCCAAAAAGTTAACACATAAGTATATAATAATGCAATTTTCTTTAAACAGCAGTAATTTGTTTTAGTACACAATTAATAAGCATGCTTCCGTACCCTTTGGAACTCTTTTACCTTCTTAAAAAGTTAGGCAGAGAGGTCCGCCTCCTGTCCACCTCTATTACTCAGATCAGCTGTGCAATCTTAGGCACACAGCTAGACTGAGTGTCTAAGATGCGCACAGAGAGGAGAGAAACAGGATGGACTTTTGGAGTGTTTAACTGCTGTAGACAAAAGGACCTAGAAAACATACATTATAATGACTGCATACACACGTTTACTACTGAAGAAACACAAAATTTCTTCACACAAATGAAAACCATGAAAAACTACCGTATTAATGCAGAGGTAAGAAATATATGAGAAATTGTTCCATGTTCAGCCTGCTACACCTATTCTAATTAAAAAATGAGTTTTTTCAGGTTTCTGAGACAACCACAGTACTGAGAACTGCTCTGATTAAGGTGATCAATAACATCCATGTTAACACAGGCTATAGCAGAACCACAGAGCTGGTATTATTCGACTTGAGTGCAGCGTTTGATACTGTTGATCACTTGATTTTACAACAGAGTCTGGAAAACTGGGTTGGCCTCTATGATAAAGGACTTGACTGATTGAAATTCCACTTGAAGGACTCTGACCTTTATGTGTCAGTATGGAACTTTAAAACCGAGTCCAGAAAACTCACATGGACCTCAAGGCTCCATTCTGAGGCCCCTCCTATTCAACATCTACATGCTCCCCTTTGCTCAGTTTACAGCAAACAACAAGATATTAGTTACCATAGCAATGCAGATGACACACAGCTTTACATCACAATGTCACCAGGTGTCTATGAACCCATCTGAGCTTTGGCTAGATGCTTTGAACAGATCAATATATGGATGCACCACAATTATCTCCATCTGAATAAAACCAAAACTGAGGTAATAATCTTCATCATAAGAGGAGAGATCCAGAGTTAGCTCATAGCTTCAGCTACTGCAGCTAGAAACCAGTGGTTATGGCAGACATCTTGGTGTCATCATGGACTCAGACCTGAACCTTCAGAGGCATGTAAAGGCAGTTACTAACTTAGCCTTTTATCACCTAAAAACATCTCCAGGATTAAAGGACTAATGTCAAAGCAGGACCTAGAAAAACTAATTCATGCATTTATCTTTAGTAGAATTGACTACTGCAACGGTGTCTTCATAGATTTGCCTAAAAAGACCATCAGACAGCTGCAGCTGATCCAAAACCCTGCTGCCTGTGTTCTCACCAAAACTAAGGATGTAGAGCACATAAGCCCGCTTCTGAATTTCTTACAGACTTTAAAATCTTTCTATTAGTCTATGGATCAGCACCTCAATACATAACAGATTTGTTCATTTAGATTAGTTGAAGCCTACTCTGTACATCCAGAACTAGAACCAAACATGGAACTGTAGCATTCAGTTCCTAGGCTCCACTTATCTGGAACAAACTTCCAGAAGACGTGCTGAAAGTCTTAAAACCCATTTTTTTTTTTAGAACTGCCTTTTGACTGTTGAAGTTAAACTGTTAATTGAGGTATCAGCTTACATTTAGGGTCATACGGTTTTATGTGCTTTTCTTTCTGCTTTTTTCTTGTTTTTATTTTTACTTGCTTTTATTCTGTTTTTATTTTCCTTCTATTCTATTATTTAATTCATGTAAAGCACTTTGAATTTTCTTTTGTACTGAATTGTGCAATATAAATACACTTGCCTTGCCTTTACTTTAACAACAGGGTTTAAAGCTTTTTCATTTAAATAATATGCAGAAGTTCTACAGACTCTGGTGAAATGTCATCCTCACCAAAACAGAGCTTTCTAAGATCAGATAAATCAGTTTCCTCTGTTTAGTTAGACATTTAATATTGTTTTGTGTGGAAGTATATGCATAATCATGCTTTTTTTTTCTCTGCAGAATATTCTTGATGACTATCATGTTTGGCATTGTTGCCATCATAATAAATCTAGATTTACATAAAAGCATTTATCCAACCCGATGCTATAATGAATATTAAAAACAAGATATTTTGTTAAGGTAAATTAATAATATTTGAAAAAATCTGCTATTAATTTTGATCAACTACAGTATGAGTTAACTGTAGATCTTCATGCAACTAATTGCAAATTAGAGTTTAGATTGATTGACAGACCTAACTGCAACTAAATATAATGTGATATGTAAATTTACAGGTGTCAAAAGTTAGGTTTTTATCTATGCCTGGGTGTTTGCTGGTATTTAAGGCTAGCAACCTCCACATTTGTAGGTCTTTGATCGTATTATACTGTTTAGGATTTGTGGTAAGTTTGAGCTTCTAGTTTATGTTTTATTTTTGCTTCTGTCTTTCCTTGTGCACTCTGGCTTATTTACTTTCTCTCAGTCCTATGTCTAAATTTAATCTTCAAATGTTTAACTTTTGTGTTGTATTGGGTAGTTAATGGGGCCATTGAGAAGTTTCTACAGTAAATTAGGATTTGGGGATGTGTGTAATTTGTTCATGTTGGTAAAGTGTGTTTTACCGAGCTAAAAGTCAGCCCAGCATCAACCTGGAAACGTTAAAATCCTTCAGGCCTGTTTTATTTTTAGCAAAACCTGGTAACTACCTTTATTTCTAAAAGTGCCAAAGGTTAACAGATCTAAAGCTCTCTGAGAATGAAGATGTATTATCAACAGAAGGATGAGAGACACCGACAAAGAAAGATGCTTAAGCTAAATCCCTCTACTGAAGAAACCTGTTCCCCCCAACACTTCAGCAGAGCCGCTAGCTGATTGATTAATTGGTACAAAACATTCCTTGATAAAGATTTTTGTGATAACAGTGCACAGTACTTAGAGATAGTTTTCAGTAGGTAGCCATTACTGTATTAAAAATACTTTCTTATTGGTCTACTGTGCTATTCAGAAAATTAATGTTTGGATTTTTTTCAGAAAAAGCCATAATTGTCCTTTTTTACATTTGAATTATAAAAATGTTTGAGATCTCAAGTGATTTTCTGATTAATTGAAACAACCCTGTAGCTTAGCGCTAGCAGTGATTTTATAAACTTGCTGACACAATGATCTTCTTAACCCAGAGGCACCAGTTACCAATGAACAGGAAGAGGTTTAAATAAAGTGGCATCACCAGGGGGAGGAGTGATGGCAGTGGGATTGGAAAGGGCAATGGTCACACCTATAAATTTGTTACTACCCCCACACCCCACCGGGCAACTTCCCCAGGACTACACCTGACAGAGTTTATGGGAAGAATATCTTTTAAACATTCATTTAAAGTTGCAATGTTTTAAAAGGCTGAAACATTTGTTTAAATCAATTACATTTCTTGTTTTTGTCAACAATATTCTTTGGCCTTATAAACAAATCATACCAGGTTTACATATTAGGAACAAATTTAGAAGAGTTAGTTTTAGATGGATGGATGGATGGATGGATGGATGGATGGATGGATGGATGGAT